AAAAGGTAAAAGGTTGGAGGCATGTCTAACCTCTGCCTCGTAAGAATCAGCCTTGGGCTGTTGATCTTGATCCTCCTCTCCCCTTGTGAAGTTAGAGGAAGTCAGATGCTGCCTCCACACCATTTTTACAACTTCACATCAATTTAAAAAAAAAAAACCAAACTCACTGCTGTTGAGTTGGTCCCAACTCATAGCAACCCCTCTTTGGGTTTCTAAGGCTGTGAATCATTATGGAAGTAGATCACCCAGTCTTCCTTCCACAGAGCAGCTGGTGGGTTTGAACCACTGACCTTCCAGTTAGCAGTCAAGTCCCTTATCCACTATACCACCAGATCTCCTTTAGAAAGACTAAACTAAACTTTAAAAAGACTAGAACTCTCATAGTGGTGAGAGTTACATAGTGGTAGTGGTGTTACCATCAAATCTGTTCCAACTCAAGACAGTTGGTGTTGAGATTCCAACTGGTGTCAGAGTAGAGCTATGCATCATGTTTTCAAGAGCATGACCTTTCAGAAGCAGATCACCAAGCCTGTCTTCATGGTGCCTTTTGAATTCAAACTGCTAACCTTTTGTACCACTCTCATATATTATTGGTGGGAGTATGAAATAGTACATCTACTTTGGAAAATTATTTGGCAGCTTCTTAAAATGTTAAACATGTCCTATATTCCAATAGTTCCACTGAAGTATTTATTTAAGAGAAGTGAGTGTATATGCCCACAAAGACACACAACAATATCTGTAGCAACTTCATTTATTTGTTTGTTTGTTTATTTATTTGGAACTTCCCAAATGTCTATAGCAGGAGAGTGGATAAACCAATTGTGATATGTTCATATGGTGGAATTCTGCTCATCAGCAGAAGAGAATGAACTGCCATTGTACCCACATTATGTGTGAATATCAGAAACATTGGACTGAACGGAAGGAGCCAAGCAGAAAAGAATATATCCTTCATACTGTAGTTTTTTCATATAATGTATTCATGGAAATAATGTGCATCTTCGTAGTGCACACAGGAAACTAACATTCAAGTGGATTGTGCAGTTAGCAAAAAACAGTATAATGTGTGTGTTACTTGCTTAAAAATATGATAAATCCATTTATATGGAGTCTTAGATGATACTAATTTGTGGAAATAGAAAGCAGAACAATGGTTTGCCTGTTGAGGGAGCAGGAGGGTATAAGAATTGACCCATGGGCTCAAGAAACTTATGGGTTGATGTAGATATCCTGTGTTTTGATCGGAGTGGTCTTTAACACTGGAAATACATTTATCAAAAATCTATTTATGTATTTTGGCTGTATGTAGATTTTATGTCAGTAAAAATGTTTTGTATCCCCCGCCCCCCCAAAAAAAAAGCTGTTGGCAAAACTTTGTTATTTGTGAACCATCTATTTATCCCATGTTTTTTTGTAAAGCAGCAACAGCTCAGTGCATTATGGGACATAAGAACGAAGATACCGTAGCTGAAGCTGTGCTACATTTTGTTCTTGAGATACATACAAACATTTTGCCTATCACACATATCAAGCAGTGAAGTTGAACCCAGGAGAAAAGAAATGGCCAGTCCCATCAGAGGAATGATAGCTCTGATTTGTGTAGAATATCCTTAAGGCATTGTTGTAATTTAATTGACAATGTATTTTTTCCATCATAATGGTGCAGTAAAATAATGGTTCATCTCACAGTCAGTGGTGTCTTAGATTTGATGAAATACTGTGGGCAAATAGCTAAGATCCATTTGTACCAGAAGTGGAGTGCTAATCATGTGTTAGTAGACTTAAGTTCTCCATGTAAGTGGAGAATAAGTTGTTAGATGTGTCTTTATGTTATCAAACGAAATCAAGGTTAAAAAGCAATTTGAAATAAAACTCTTTTGTACTGCTGTTGGAGAAGGGTACACTCTTCTAAGGAAATACTTAGGACTATTTAGAAACTAAGATACTAGAGCATGTACAAATTCTTGGACTGTGGTTAATTAGAGAATCATGTTAGGGCTTAGGAACTTTAATAATACTCGACAAATGTGAAAACATGCAAAAAGGCTATGTAATTCATATCTTACACTAGGAGTTGAATTCAGGTTTTAATAGACTTCTTTTTCGGAGTATTGGGATAGGTAATCATTTGTATATGTTTTATAATTTGTTAATGTTTTACAAGAATTTTTATATTCTTATACCACATTAATATTTCAAAAGCCACAGAAGAGGAAGATGCAATATTTTATCTAAGAATTTAAACATTTTAAACCCCATTTAGATATAGATTGATTGAAATAAAGCAAAGCATGGTTCTCTAGGTAGTAAGGTCCCTTTGTTGTAGATTATAAGCTTCAATAGGGCAGGTACTGTGTTTTGAACAACTATATATTTTGAGTGTATTGTATAATTTATATATGGCACAATGTATCGCACATACTGTGAATACATTTTTTGTTAGTTATGGCTTTGCTTTGTATCAGAACTTCATTTCCAACAATTCATATATATTAAATATTTTTAAAAATCTGCTTTTTATTCAGAGTATCAGTATATATATTTGACATTTTCTAAGTAATTACTTAATATAATAACTGGAATCTGTAAGGAATATGGGGGATATTTATAAATATATGGAAATCTTAATATTTCCAGCAGATTTGAAAACATTTACTTTATCAAAAGCAAAGTTCATTGTTAGACTTATTATCATGTGCTAAAAACTTCTATGACTACAAAGTGAGTATCACTGCATGATGAATACAATATGTGGTATTGAAATTTTTCACAGGGACTCTACCCAGTGAAAGCTCTCACTGGTTTTATACACCCTCTTTGCTGTTGGGCAATCTACTTCTGTAGTGATACTGCCTTGGAAACCCAAGGGGAGGGGTCGCTATGAATTGGGTCCAACTCGATGTCACATAACAACAACATTGCTGTTTCACCTTTTTATTTCTCTAAAATTACGGAAGTAGGATACTCAGTGCAATGATTGTATTACCTCTTTGGTAAGAGGGGCCAGAGCCATAGCTAGTAAAATATGCTGCTACAGTGTATATTACAAAATAAAAAAACTAAAGAAACACTTCACTATAGAAATAGATTGCCCAATCTTCCTTTTGAGGAGTAGCTGGTGGGTTTGAACCTCCAGCCTTCTGGTTAGCAGTCAGATGCCTTAGGCACTACACTACCAGAGCACCCATATTATAAAATAGACTGCTTTTTAAAATGCTTTGTGAATCCTGAAAAATTCTGAAGCTGGCAGCAGCTCTCTAGATTGCTAAATTAGAGAAATATTAGTGTTGGGGGTACAGTAGAGAATTTAACCACCTAAGTAAAGTTGATAGTGTACTAAATTACTAGCAGCATTTACTATAAAATACACTCTCGGCATACAATGATTTAAATTTCCTTACTTTAAAGTTTACAAAACTACCCTGAATTTTGATGGTCTTTCACTAATCTTGCCAAATGTGAGACAGATGTTTTGTGAAGCTCCTGAGTAGTCCAGGTCGCTTAGTGTTAGGCCTTGCTAGCCACAACAGCATCTTTGTTTCAGGTGACCTTTTGATTTACAATAAAGTTTCCCCATATTATAAAGTTTTTTTCTCATAGCATTTGAGAAAGCAGGATTAGTGTGGTCTTTTATATAACCTTGGATAATGCTAAGTGCTAGTTGGATGAGTAAAATTTGAGTATGTCTTCAGATATATGTGTGTTTGTGATAGCACACACATACACACAGACATGCCAACTTATGGCCATAGTGAGCTTAAGTTTTGTTTGGCATACAAAGAAGAGACCCATATTCTCGAGCATTATAACATTTACATACACAACAGGTTTATTTAAGTGTGTGTGTGCAGAGAGAGAGAGAGAGAGAGAGAGAGAATGAGTTAGGTGCCGTTGAGTCAGTTCCAATTCATAGCTATCATATACAACAGAAGGAAAGACTGTCCAGTCCTGTGCCATCCTCACAAGTGTTGCTGTGTTTGAACCTGTTGTAGCCACTATGTAACTGTCATGTTGAAGGGCTTCCTCCTTTTCACTGACACGCTAGCTTACCAAGCATGATGTCTTCTCTAGGACAGGTCCCTCCTGATAATGTGTCTGAAGTAAGCAGGATGAAGTCTCGTCATCCTCACTTCTAAGGCTGGATATACTTTCAAGACAGATTTGTTTGCTCTTATGGCAGAACATGATATATTCAATAGTCTTCACCAACACCGTAATTCAAAGACATTTAGTTCTTCTTTGGCCTTCCTTATTCATTCTCCAGCCTCTGCATGCATATGAAGTGACTGAAAATGCCATGACTTGGGATAGGTATACCTTAGTCCTCAAAGTGATGTCTTTGCTTTTTAACACTTATAGAGGTCTCTTGGGAGCTCTGGAGTGCAGTGCCTAAGGCACTTGACTACTAACCAGAGGCTGGCGGTTCAAACCCACCAGCCACTCCTCGGAAGGAAGATGGGGCAATCTACTTCCGTAGTGATACTGCCTCGGAAACCCAAGGAGGGGTCGTTGTGAGTTGGGGCTGACTCAGTGGCACCTAACAACAACAACAAGAGGTCTCTTGCGGCGGATTTGCCTAATGCAGTATGTTGTTTGATTTCTTGATTGCTGTTTCTTTAGGAATTGATTGTGGATCCAAGTAAAGTGAAATCCTTGACAACTTTAGTCTTTTCTTTGTTTATCATGGAGGTCCAATTGTGAGGATTTTCTTCTTTATGTTGAGATGTAATCCATAGTGAAGGCTATGATTTTTGATCTCCCTCAGTAAGTGTTTAAGTCCTCTTTGCTTTCAGCAAGCAAGGTAGTGTCATCTGCATATCACAGGTTGTTAATGCGTCTTCCTGTAGTCCTGATGCCATGTTGTTGTTCATATAGTCGAATATACTTGTTTATTTTGGTTTAAGACTATCAATATTTTAAAAACTATTTGAAAATATATTTTCCCAATTTCATCACATTTGAATGTATTTGTCTTTTTCTCACCTCTTTTTTCCAAGATTTGTCCCATCAGATGAAAAGAAGAAACAAGGCTGCCAGCGGGAAAATGAAACTCTGATACAGAGAAGAAAAGACCAGATGCAACCAGGGGGCACTGCAATCAGTGTGACAGTTCCTTATAGAGTAGTAGACCAGCCCCTTAAACTTATGCCACAGGACTGGTAAGATAATCTATAGTTTTTAATATTCATTTCTTTATGTTTATTCATATTTTTTATTATGTGAACAAGTATCAGATTTTATCATGATATCTAAAACCTAGCCTTAAAATGTGTGTTAATATCTATAGATCTAAGTTGATCATCAGTAAAGGTAACATTCTAGCAATACCTAAGTAAATTTATATTTTGGATGACTAGTTGTAGGCTTAAACTGTTCTTGGCAGTTGTACTTACTATATATTTTTTTAATTAAGTATTGTGTAAATTAATGAAATATGAGGGCCAGATAGAGATTTCTTTCTAGGAACTCTTAAGTTGAATGATTAGAAAAAGAACTTGCTTTAAAAAAGTGCTATAGAATTTAAGGCAAGTGAGGTAGTTGTAAAATTATAAAATAGATGGTTTCTGTACTCAGTTACTTCTCGGGCAATCAGAGGAACACAAAGATAATGAAGGCCTTGAGGCTTCATTAAAAAACTGGTGCATTACTGTAATTTATTGTTTTTAATTAGAGTAAAATATTTAAGATGTGCTTGAATTTTAAATGATTTCTTTTTAAAACCAACTCTTTGGAATAATAGGTCAGCTACTTTTCCCTATTGCATTGAAAAGAAGGTTTCAACCCTAATTAATAGAAGGGCAGAGTTAAAAGGTTAAAAAGATCCCATGTAAAGATGGTGCATGTAATTATGCTTAAAAGACTTAGGTACAAAAACACAGATGCAGAGGGACTACTCTGTCCATGACATGAGCAAGTGGCAGAGGGATCCAGGTAAGGGGAGGGACCAAGGCCCCAACCTACAAGTGCAGGAAAAATGGAGGGGAAAGGAAGGGAAAGAAAATCCAGGGCTTTCAGGACAGAGCGAGCAAGCAGTAGGAATCCAGGTAAGGGGAGGATGAAGGGGTTTCGAACAGCTAAGAGAGACAAATGGGTCTATCGGTTTGTTGTGCTCTGGTGGAATGTTGCTGTGAGGCTTGAGGCTGTGCCACCAGTGTTTCAAATGCCAGTGGGGTTGCACATGGTGGACAGGTTTTGGTGTGGCTTGCAGGTTGAGACAGACTAGGAAGAAGGAAGAGGCCATCCACTTCTAAAAGAACTGGCAAGGGAAAACCTTATGAATAGGAGAGAAACACTGTCTGTTACATTTCTAGGCAACTATACGAATACCCTGGAAACACTGTCTGATACAGTGCAGGAGGATGATCCACTAGGTCGGAAGGCTCTCAAAATAGGACTGGAAAAGTGCTGCATCATCAGAGTGGAACCAGCCTTACTGATATGGATAAAGTAAAGCTTTTGAGACCTCCATTTGCTGATGTGACATGACTCATATTGAGGAGAAACAGCTGCAAACATCCATTAATAATCAGAACATGGAATGTATGAAGTATGACTCTAGGACAATTGGAAGTTGTCAAAAATGAAATGGAATACATAAAGATTGATATTCTAGGCATTAGTGACCTGAAGTGGACTGATTTTGGCTATTTTGAATCAGACAACCATATGATCTACTATGCTGAGAATGACAGTTTGAAGAAGAATGGTGTGGCATTCATCATCACAAAGGATATTTCAAGATCTGTCTTGAAGTGCAATGCTATTAGTGATAGGATAATACCCTACGTCTACAAAGAAGACCAGTAACTACAACTATTACTCAAATTTATGTACCAACCACCAAGTCAAAGATGAGGAAATTGAAGATTTTTATCAACTTCTGCAGTCTGAAATTGACCAAATGTGCAATCAAGAAGTATTAATTATCACTGGTGACTGGAAGGCAAAAGTTGGAAAATTTGGCCTTGGTGACAGAAATAATGCTGGAGATCACATGATAGAATTTGGGAAGACCAACGACTTATTCATTGCAAATACCTGTTTCAACAACACAAATGGCAGCTATACACATAAACTTCATCAGATGGAATACACAGTAATGAGATTGACTACATCTGTGGCAAGAGGCAATGGAAAAAAGCTCAATATCTGCAGGAAAAACCAGGCCAGGAGCTGACTGTGGAACAGACCATCAACTGCTCATATGTAAGTTCAATTTGAAGTTGAAGACAATTAAAACAAGTCCATGAGAGCCAAAATATGATCTTGACTATATCCCTCCTGAATTTAGAGACCACCTAAAGAGTAGATTTGATGCATTGAACACTAGTGACCTAAAATCAGAAGAATTATGGAATGACATCAAGAACATCATCCATGAAGTAAGCAAGAGGTCATTAAAAAGACAAGGAAAAAAGACCAAAATGGATGACAGAAGAGATTCTGAAGCTTGCCCTTGAGCAGAGAGTAGCCAAAGCAAAAGGAAAAAATGACAAGATAAGAGAACTGAACAGAAGATTTCAAAGAGCAGCTCAAGCAGACAAAGCCAATTACTATAATGAAATGTGTAAAGACTTGGAGTTAGAAAACAAAAAGGGAAGAACATGCTCAGTATTTCTCAAGCAGAAAGAACTGAGGAAAAAATTCAGTCGTCAAGTTGCAATATTGAAAGATTCTACGGGCAAAATACTAAATGATGCAGGAAGCATCAAAAGAAGATGGAAGGAATACACAGAGTCATTGTACCAAAAAGAACTGGTCAATCTTCATCCATTTCAGGAGGTGGCATATGTTCAAAAACCAATGGTACTTAAAGAAGAAGTCGAAGCTGCACTAATGGAATTGACGAATAATAAGGCTCCAGGAATTGACAGAATACCCATTGACATGTTTCAACAAATGGATGCCCTGATGGAGGCACTCACTTGGTTATGCCAAGAGATTTGGAAGACAGTTACCTGGCCACCTGACTGGAAGAGATCCATATATGTACCCATTTCAAAGAAAGGTGATCCCATAGAATGTGGAAATTACTGAACAATATCATTAATAACACACACAAGTAAAATCTTACTGAAGATAATTCAGAAACGGTTGCAGCAATATATTGACAGAGAACTTCCAGAGGTACAAGACGGATTCAGAAGAGGACATGGAACGAGGGATATCATTTCTGATGTTAGATGGATCTTGGCCGAAAGCAAAAATTCCAGAATGATGTTTCCTTGTGTTTTATTGACTATGCTAAAGCATTTGATTGTGTGGATCATAACAAATTGTGGATAACATTAAGAAAAATGGGAATTCCAGAACACTTAATTATACTCATGAGGAACCTGTACATAGACCAGGAGGCTGTCATTCAAACACAACAAGGGAATACTGCATGGTTTAGAGTCAAGAAGGGAGTGCATCAGGGTTGTATTCTTTCACCATATTATTCAATCTATATGCTGAGCAAATAATCCGAGAAGCTGGACTGTATGAAGAAGAACGTGGCATCAAGATTGGAGAAAGAATCATTAACAACTTGAGATACGCTGATGATACAACCTCGCTTGTTGAAAGTGAGGATGACTTGAAGCACTTACTGATGAAGATTGGAGAATACGGAACTGCAGTATGGATTACATCTCAATAGAAAGAAAACAAAAATCCTCACAACTGGACTTACAAGCAGCATCCTGATAAATGGAGAAAAGATTGAAGTTTTCCAAGACTTCACATTTCTTGGTTCTACAAGACCCCAATGGAAGCAGCAGTCAGGACATCAGATGATGTATATAGCACTGGGCAAGTCGCCTGCAAAAGACCTCTTTCAGGTGCTGAAGAGCAAAGATGTCTCCTTCAGAACTAGGGTGCGCCTGACACAAGCCATGAAATTTTCAGTCGCCTCATATGCATCTGAGAACTGGGCAATTAATAAAGAAGACTGAAGAAGAATTTGCTCCTCATATGCATGTGAGAACTGGGCAATTAATAAAGAAGACCAAAGAAGAATTTGCTTTTGAGTTGTGGTTCTGGCTGAGGATGCTGAAAGTACCATGGACTGCTAAAAGAACTAACAAATCTGTCCTGGAGGAAGTGCAGCCAAAATGCTCCTTGGAAGTGAAAATGGCCAGACTTCATCTCACCTACTTTGGTCGTGTTGTCAGAAGGGACCATTTTCTGGAGAAGGATGTCATGCTTGCTGAGGTGCAGGGTTGATGAAAGAGGGGAAGGCCCTCAATGAGATGGATAGACACAGTGGCTGTTGCGATGGGCTCAAGTATAGCAGGGATCACAGAGCTGGTGCGGGGTCCTGGAGGTGTTTCCTTCTGCTGTGCATAATGTGACTATGCATGGAAGACGTGGACGACACCTAACAACAACAGCAATCGTTAATGTACTCAAATTGTAACACTGTAATGAAAAGTTACGGTAATAGACTGTGTCTCACAGTGAGGTTGACAAGAAATAATTACAACTTTTTCTTAAGGATTTGCAATAACTAAAGTTCAAATTTGGGACATTCTCCTCTCCTCTATATTTAGGGACCGAGTTGTAGCAGTTTTTGTACAAGGCCCTGCATGGCAATTCAAAGGTTGGCCTTGGCTTTTGCCCGATGGATCGCCAGTTGACATATTTGCTAAAAGTAAGTTTATCTATATGTTTATTGCTTGTCCACTATGGACATGATCTTACTGTTTAAGAGAAGGAGCCTAATAGGTGCCACTTTTTTTTTCCCTTGCCATACATCTATTTTTTGCATAATTTTCTAGCATTTTCAGGGTACGCAGTAATTTTGTTAGCTATTGCTGATTAATTCTTACTTGGTCTTTGAAATTTTCATTATATTTTCTATTTTCTCTTAAAGTACATTGCATGGCATATTCTAAAGAATATTTGAAAATATAGGGCAACTTTAGTAAATACAGAAGCTCATCATTGTAGTAAGGTAACTTTTTTATACTGGTATTCAGGAAAGCTGTATCTACTTAATAAGAACCGAACTTAGTGAAATTAGAAGTTTGTTATTAATAAAACAATAAGGGGAGGAGAGCAGGTTAAGGTTGGGGATGGTCATTGGGGCGTGCAATCAAATGTACACAAACTGTTGGATATAAAATAAATTCTGCTCTGTAAATTTGGACCCAAAGGACAATTAAAAAAAAAAAAAACCTGCAATCTCCTAAGATTAATTGCTTACACTGATTTAAAAATTTTCTTTAATAATTCATAGAACGGGAGCTCTGGTAGCATAGTGGCTAAGGCACTTGACTGCTAACCAGAAGGCTGGCGGTTCAAACCCACCAGCCACTCCTCAGAAGGAAGGTTGGGCAATCCTACTTCCGTAGTGATACTGCTTCGGAAACCCAAGGAGGGGTCGCTATGAGTCAGGGCCGACTCGATGGCACATAACAACAACAACAACAACAACAACAATTCATAGAGCATAGTGTTTTAAAAACTACGATTTTACAACTAGAAAAAGATATGTAGGACTTTTTCTCTTTGTATATGTAACATGTAGTTCAAAGGATTGCTGTTAAGTAGCATATATAATGTTAGTTATTACACAGCTAGTGAAGATTTTTTTTTTTTTAAAGTATCTATTGTAATTTGAGGGGAAGTTTACAGAGGAAATTTCGTTTTTAGTTCGTCAGTTCATGCACATTTTGTTTTGTGACGTTAGTGGAGTCCTCACAGTGTCACAGCTCTCTTCCCACTTCTCTGTGGTTACCTTTTCCTTGTGTCCTTCTTGCCTGTGCATCCCTGCCCACTTGAGTTTCCCTGGGTAAATGCTGTTCTCCCAGAGTTGATTTTCCTAAGGAATGTACCTGTCTGGGAAACAACCAGTGAAGTATTTTTTCAAAATTTTATACATCAGTATTTTATTTGTACTTTTATCCTGAATGTTGCCTATCCTTCAAAATTATTTTTCATACAGTTTAAAAATTGCTAATTTCACGTCCATGTATTTTTATTAAATTTAATGCCAATTTTGGAATAGGTTGACCTTTGCTGAAAAGTAATGTGTAGCCTTAAACTTAAAGTACCCTAAGGTATTTACTAGCTGGTCTTTTTGTCTGAAGTGATTGTGGCATGATTGGCCTTTTCTCTCCTTTCAGGTTCTAAGTCATGTGTTCTCTCTTTAGAGAATCCTTTTCTGACCATCCTGTTCGAAATAGTCATCACCTCTTCCAACTTAATCTCGAAGCCTGTTTGATTTTCTTAATAGCACTGTTGTTGCTTGACAGTCTCCTGTTTTTCTATTTTTATTGTATGTCTTCTCTGGCTAAAATGCAAGCACCTAATGGGAAGAGGCTTGTGTACCTTGTCATCATTGTATCTTCAGCACAGAAGAATGCTTGGTATAAGAGAGGCACTCTATAAGTATCTGTTGAATCAATATTTAATGTGGCTTATATCTTTCATTGAACATGTTTGGTATAAATTTTGATATAGCAAAAGTAGGTGGTAAATTCATCTTGTTTATTTGCTGGAAGGGATATTTCAGTTATTTAAATTGGAGTACTCAAATTAGTAATATTGAAACAAAAAATAGACTCATGAAACATGTTTATCAGAAGTGACAACTTTAGGAATTATGAATATCAGTTGTGCTCCTGTGAAATCCATCCTCTTTTTTTTTAAAAGCAATCCCATGTTTTTGTTAGTGATACAATTATTCTTCCAGGCTAGAAACTCTTCCCAAGCTTGAAATTTTTAAAATCATTTGGTCTTCTAACCTTCATTCATTTAAAAGAAATAAATTCTAATTGTTCACTTACAAAAGTGATCAGTTCTCACTTGTGTGGCATATATTTACGTTAGTATTCATTGTGTCACCTTGGCTTCTTATAGAAGAAGTTTATTTCATCATTTTTTTTTTTTTTTTTTACTTGTAGTAGCTTCAGACTTTTATTCTTTTTCTGAATAAAGTGTTTTATTGTAATTTGTTGGCTTAAGTTTGCTTGACACCATTGTTTTTGTCTGGTAGAGAAACATTTTTCCCCATTAGTGACTTAAATTTTTTGGACTGCTGTGTTTATGACTCTGAAAATCCAACTTTAATTTAAAAAGTTGTGTACTCTAAGTAAAAAAGTAAATAAATTAAGTCTGTTGAAATTGAAGTGGATGTATGCCTTTATGGCTTTAGATAATCATTTTTTAAAATGTAGGTCTTACGTTTTTTAGCAATAATTTAAAGGAAATTGTATTGAAAAAATTAGAAAAATGAAACATGTAGTAAGCAGAGTAAAAAGTATTGGATTATTTTCATTTAATTGAATAATTTAAAAATTAAAAAAATATAGATTAAAATATTTTTTACTCACTAAATAATACTTTGAAAATGAGTTTTCTGAATCCATAGAGACACATATATATAGTCTTCTTAATGAACTGGTGTAATTAAATTCAAAATGAGAAATTTATGTCTGGTGAAAGAACTTTTGTTTCTTAAAACAAGTAATTTAGAAAATAATGTCTTTGTGGGATTGTTGTTTGTTTATTTATTTAAGGAATACAAATCATTCATTTTGAATCTCCGTCAAGAATTTGACCTTATTAGTTGTTAACATCAAAAGCCAGTAAGCCAGCAAGCAGTCTGAAACAAGTAATCCACATATTACCTATCAAAAAAATTAAAAGTCTGTTGTTTTTCCCTTTTGAAACCACTTATATCAGGTGATGATGATGATAACACTAGCATTCATATCTGTTAGGAAAAAAGTGAAAAACTGAAGAGAAAGCCGAACATTTTACTTATGTATATGAGAACAAAAAGCTCTACTTAAGATAACTTAGTTGGAAATATAATAATAAACGTTAGTTTATTATGGGTTGATTCAACTGGATAATTAGGACAGAACATTTATAAGCCAATATTTTATGGCCCACTTGTTACCTGTTTGCAGCACACACCAATTAGGAAGTTTTACCCTAGAGTCTGTTATCTACTCTGTAGCCAGAGTTATCTTTTAAAAATGAAAATCAGATGATTTCACCTTCTTGCTCTAAACTTTCCAGTGGCTTCTACCACATTTGGAATAAAATTCAGATTTCTTACCATAGCCAAGAAGAGTCTACATATACTGGCCATTGCCTGCAAAAAACCTTATATTTGTTTATATGTAACACTGCAAGCTTGTTCCCATCTCAGGGCTTTTCTGTTGGTGTTTCTCTGCCTGAAATCTATTTCCCCAGATCACTGCTAGACTACTTTTTTTTTTATTTATTTAGCTTTCTACTTCTTAAAGGAGCTCTAGTGGCACAGTGGTTAAGGCATTTGGCTGCTTACCAAAGATCAGTGATTTGAATCCAGCAGCAGCTCCATGGTAGAAAGATAAGGTAGTCCGTAAATATTGGAAACCCTGTGGAGCAGTCTGCTATCCTGTAGGATTGCGAAGAGTCAGAGTTGACTCTGATGGCAGTGAGTTATCTATTTCTAGGTAACTTGTGCAAAGGCCTTCCCTGCCCTCTATCTGAATAACTTCCTGCCTACTTACATTATCTTTTCTCCTTATTCTGCTTTATTTTTCTTCGATTACACGTAATACTGTCTGAAACTCATTCATGTTTTATCTGTTTAACTATTTGTTGACTATTAGACTATAAGCTCCATGGGAGTGGAGACTTGTTTTGGTCACTCCTATATCCTCAGTGCCTAGAACAGTGTATGATTTGTCAAAAAACTAAAACCCAAATGCACTGCTGTTGAGTCGATCCTGACTCATAGCGACCCCTCCTTGGGTTTCCAGGGTGGTAGCTCTACGGAAGTAGATTACCCAGTCTTCCTTCTGAGGAGTGGCTGGTGGGCTTGAACCACCATCCTTCTGATTATCAGTCAGATGCCTTAGGCACTATGCCACCACAATTGCAAAATGTTATATATATCCTGCTTGCAAATTTTTCTTTTCCCCTCTTCATCATCTTACCACGTCCTGTTAGTTCTTACTCCCTGATTGTTCCTTGAATCTTTTTATTTCCATCCATATAGCTCCTACTCAATTTAGGAAACCCATCTCTTCGTTCTCTACTGAATTGTATTATTATTCTTTGCCATATACTTTGCTCCTCTCTATATGGTCAACAAGGCTGATGTTGCTTCAAACCTGTTTGGTCTTATGTCTGTATCCCTTCCCTGCATTATTTTGCATAATGCAGTTTTATTAAATTTCTTCAATTCCTAGCATAAACTATTTTCTCTTTGATTATGTTCTTCTTGTTAACTGGATCACTTTTGTTTTGTGATTGATTAATTCTTACTTCATCTTTAGGTTTTAGTTTATATATATCACTGCCTATGTAAGCCTTTTCTAAATTCCATGATCTGGGGAAAGTATTCTTTTGTGTTCCTGTGATACTCCACTGCTCTTATTATATTGTATTTAAGTGGTCTTTTTAAAAATTCTTACCCTTTGCTTTACTATATGTATTTTATCTTACTTGTTCTTCATTTTAGTGTCTGATGGCTGACATGTATAAACCCTCAGTAACTATTTGTTGAATTGAGTGTTTTTGAGGATACTATAGTACTTAACATCTATTTGAAACATCACTTTGGTTATAATACAGGTTTGATTGTTTGAAGAAAGATTGAATTTATTTTTACATTTTTTAGTTAATGTCTATATTGGATAATTGTTTTATTTTAAAAATGTTCTCATAATTTTATTTACATTTTGAATAAAAAATATTATTTCCCCCATATAGTTAAAGCCTTCCATCTCAAGTATGATGAAGTTCGTCTAGATCCAAATGTTCAGAAATGGGATGTTACAGTATTAGAACTCAGCTATCACAAACGTCATTTGGATAGACCAGTTTTCTTGCGGTTCTGGGAAACATTGGATAGGTAATTCTGATCCTAAAATACATTTACCTATGTTTTTTTTGGTAGTAATTTGCTTGTGTCCTCAGTTAGATTTTAAGTTCCGTAAAGTTGTGAACCATGTTCCTTAATTCCCTTTTTCCAACATTGCCTAATTTGATTATGATCCACCTTAGACAACTAATAAATATCTGTTGATAAATTCACAATAGAAACAGATAGAGAAAGTATTTATAGCCTGGTAGAAAGAACAGTAAACTCTGAGTCAGAAGATCTGGATTTTTGTCTTGATTTTGTGAACTGGTTCTAATTAACTGTCTGATCTTTCTGAACCTCGATTTTTCCTCTGTCCAAGGGCTTGGATTAAATGATCCCTATATATTTTACTAGCACTGATAGATTTTTGACTCTTTAAGAGTAGCAGATAGCTCATGAAAGGAATTGAAGTTTTGGATTTATTTTACTTGTATAGAGTTCTTATATTTACAAAACAACAGTTTTGTAATTGGAAAATTTAAGAACAATGTATGATCACAGTACCATTTAATCTATTGCTCTCTTTGAAGTTCTCATTAAAACTTTCTTGGTTAAAATTTCTCGCTGGGTATTATGGGTTACCTCAAAGTCAGTTTGAGGTAACCCAATATGATTATAACTGTGATAATATCCTAAAGAGAAACTTTATCATTCTACCCAGAAGCTGTTGTATTATAGAATGTAATGAGAAGAATATGTTTTGTCTAGCCTATTTCAGGTATTTATATTTCCAAAGGTCAGGGTATTAGGTTTCCAGTTTTTTAGAAAACAGTTTCTTGCGCTGACAATTTTAAGTTTTAAGAAATGCCAATTTATTTGAATGTGTAATCTAGAAATTCTGAAATTTCTGTAATCCTTATAACCTATTATAATATTATTATTTTTCAGGTACATGGTAAAACATAAATCCCACTTGAGATTCTGAATTAATTGGTTTCTCCTTTTTCTGGAAATTTGGATTAAGACACCTGGATATACTTTGAAGTATAGACTGAGACTCAAGCTTTATGAATTTATCAAGAACTTAAAAGTGAAGAAGGTCACTGATTGATCTTTTATAATAAGACCTTATTTGATGCTTTGTGCTTCAGAGGGATGATGCCTGTCATCCATATGAGCAAACTTTTTGGCTTACAACTATTTTTTTAATATTAGCGTTCTAGTCTGTAATGGAAATTGTATATTTTGATAGAAGTTTTTTCTTCATTGGTTAAATTAGCATTACTTAAAATTTGTTTCTTTAGAAAATAAATACAGGTTACAAATGTGTGTATATTTAGAGGTTATAAGGCTCTCTAAGCCATCTTGCTTCTGATTTTTCATTGCTCTATTGTTCCTTTTATTGAAAATACTGTTATGAATGGTATTAAATATTAGTCTCTGGAACTTTTTCCAAAACTAAGCAAAGGGATGTGACTACTTTGAATGATTCAAAATGTCAACCTGTATATGTATACTGTATCTATACTTACTCTTTATTTTAAAAGGAATAATGAAAAATCAAGAACAGTTACTCAGTTTTGGCTGAACTGTTCAGCCTTCCAAGATTTCTTTACTTATAATGAGTACATTTAGTGAATGTGTATTCTTCTCACTGACTTCGGTGATTTTAAAACTTAGGATAATGTATTTCTATCTGTGATACCTTTCCACTTGAAAAATCTGAAAACACAGATTGAAAAACTTAATAGGCTCTAGTACTTTTTATTTTGGGAGCCAGAGTATAGTTTGGGGGAAGGAAAATGTATCAGCCTACTACAATGTAAGATTAACTTCCTTATCTCTTCTCATAAGTTCACCTTTGATTCTTGTTTTATATGGTACAGGGGCTTGAGTCTTCTATTTGTAGGCATGTCAGTTTTGGAGTTCTTACCTTCCATTATCCCTAAATATTGATAAACTCCCAGGCACCAAAGAACACATTTGCTTAAGTGTCTGAACAGAAACAAGATAAAAACACTGGTATTTTTATGAGCTTATTAATATGGTATAAAATATAAAACCTATATTTTAACTTAGTAAAATATTTTACTACTTCTCTATTTTAGAGACACAATGTTGAATCCAAGGTACAACAAATGAGTATTTTCCTTGAGTCTTTGATTTTATCTTTTGTTCTTTACAAGCAACTGGGAGCACTTCTACTTCCCTAAAAAGTTTTAGCCATTACCATCATTGCTTGTCATTTAGTCTTTCGTCATGTTTTTTGCAGTTTTTTTCCAGTACCCCTTTTAGGTTAACATATGTTTTGTAAACATATAGCACTTTTTTATGTGTTAAGCTGACATTATTACCTAGTCTGTTTTTGAAGTTTAATGCTAGCATAGAAATGAGAAGTGCTTATTTATTTTTTAAGTAACCACATAAATCCATACCAATAGTAAATAGATGAAATGTTTATCTGGAATTCACAAGAAGAAGAAACAAGTCTGCATTTTAAATGACTACATTTTAGTGTATTTACAAGGTTTGAACAGATCCTGTCCCTTTTCTTCTCTCCATCTTCTTGAACATAAAACTGAAACTTGTTCACATTAGAATTTCAAAGCATATAAATCTGTTTTCAAAATTTTAAGGTATAATTACGTATTGTGTACACTTTCTCCATGATGAAGTAGTCAAGGACTAGCAATCTAATATTTTCATGTAAGAATACTTAAGACTACTGCTAGTAGATATGAACTACCTTTCCATAAAGATTTTTAGTATTTATACTTAATGTCATTTATGAATTTTACTTGCTACAGAGTGAGGTTAAAATTGGAGACATCTATTTAAACAGGATTTATTTTTCTATTTTTAAATTTGCCTTCTGTACACTGAAAGGCTTCTAGAAATACCTTAAGGAACATTAGGAAAAGTACAAATATGCTATACCACGTATTTTAAAATCAGACCCTTAATATGTACTTGTTTTCTCTTTTGGAAGCATTTCAGTCCCTTATTTAGGTCCATATAATAAATTTTATAACCATTATTTATATTTTAAAAAGAAACCAGTCTTGAGCCAATCACTCTTCCTTCTCCCATGACACTATTGTAAGTCTTACAGCAGCACCTAGCACAGTGCCTTGCACATAGTAGGCATTCAGTAAATATTTATATGCATGAATGAATGATGTATTTTCAATGTAATGATCCCCCCCCCCCCAAAAAAAAGTAGTTTGACTAGACTTCATCTTGGAAGTTTGAGAACACAGAACTGCAGAGAATAAAGATGCATAAACAAATGTTTTAATGGAAATAAAGTGCTGATTAATAACCTTGACTTACAGATATGTTACTGTTAATTGGAGACACCCTTGTTTGCTCAACCTGTAAAGAAAAACTTCATTTTTTTTTATTGATAGGATACTCAGAGTCAAGTAACAATAAGAAACTTGGTTTAAAGTAGTAGCTCTCAACCCTGACTGCTTCAACCCCAATTGCACATTAGAATCATTTGGGGAGTATTTAAAAATACTGATGCCTGAATCCTACCCCTATAGATTCTGATATAAATTGTTTCAGATTCTGAAAAACCTCCAGGTAATTTGAGTGTGCAGGAATGATTGAGAATCAGTGGTTCAGTTTGTTATTGAAGACAATACCAGTATTAAATGTTGTGTTTTCATCGTCTTTTTTTCTTTTTATGGTCACCCTTTGCACTAGACCATCACCATTCTTGGTGGTTTTGGTTTATATCCCATAATGACAAATCCAAACTTTAATTATTTATTTAATATAAAAATATTTTGCTGTTTAATATTTAAACAATGTTTAATATATTTCATTATAAACTAGTGTTATAGCTGATGAGTTTTTTCCAATGTGTCCATATCCATTATTGACTTTTTTTTTTTTTTTAACAGCAACACGCCAGCAATCCATATAGAAGTAACTAATTCATACCAAGGAAAATCTCAATCATTTTAAGGTAGAAGGAAATAAAGTACTAATTCTTATCTGCCATGCAGAATGAAACAAAGTTTGCTTATGAAAGGAAAGGAATACTTTTGAATTGGTCTACACAGAAAAGTAAATTATTCATTTAAATATGATTCATTATCTAAGAAACATTGAAGGGAATATTTTTCTTAAATAAAAATTCTTTTGTGACTCTTAACAAAATGTAAGTGATGGCATTTTGTTCTTTTTGGAGGGTGGGGAAGGTGTGTTCACTTGTCATATTTCTTAGTATATCATATAAACAGTTCCATTTTATTAATGTTAATAACAGAAATAATGATGAGAGGATATCAGTATGTGGTCAAAAGTAATGTGCCACATTGTCAGATAACTCTTACGTATGTGTCATTTCTTGAATAATGTGAAAGAAAGTCTTTGATAACAGAAATATACTTTGTAAAATTACAAATACAGAAATTACAAAAGCTAGTAAAAATGAATAGCTTAGCAACTGACTTTAAATGTTTGTTTTTTGAAATTGCTTATTTATACACAAAATTGTAACTAAGGCAGAGAAGGTTTTTAAAGCCTTCACACTTTTTTTTTTTTTAAATGGTTGGTGTGTCATGCTAAAGTGTATGTAGAATGCTGATGAAAAATAATTTATAAAGTAAGTGCTGTAGAAATTTGCCCTCAATTAAAAAGCTGACACTGCTTTTTTTGGGGTGGGGGAAAGAAACTGTGAAAAATACATTTACTTTCATCAGCCTTAATAGTACGTTACTGTGAATTTCCACAATTTCTTCCCTTGGGTTTGACATTCACCTGTTTACTTTCTTTTTTCTTTTTTTTTAATTTTTTAATTTTGAATTTACCTGTTTACTTTAATCATTTAACTTTAGAAATAGAAAGGGAAAAAATAACTGAATTCAACCTTAATTAAGAATTGGATTAAAAGTTTTGAAATGCCATGTCCTATAACTAGTTATTGCCACATTTGGAGGTATATTGACTCCAATTATATAAAAACCATTATTATGGTTTTTATATTAATATGTTGAAATAGTAACTAAGGAACACTTGAAAATGTATAACAGATGTATACAAAATTATATTTAGTAAATGCGTTATAGGTAACAATATGCTCAGATTACTGATTTGTCTGAGTTTATGCGTAATAGTTACAGGTAATGTTTATAACAGTATTTTGGAAGTTATAACTGTGTATGCTGTTAGCTGAAATGCAGGTAAGCATTTTTAAATGAGTAAATGAGTAAAGCTAATGAAATAAAATTAGTTTTATTGCCAAAATTCAAAAAATGGGGTAATGGCATGTTAAATTTTAAGCAAATGATCCCTCTGGGGATTTTGTTAACCGTTGAATTCCATTTCTATCCACTTTAATTTTCCTAAAAGCTACTTAACCTCCAAGTTTGACTATAGTGCTTAATACAAAATGCAGTTCATGTACATGTACTAAGTGCTATAAATGTTTAACCACCAATTCCACTATTTTTCAAGTAGAGAATTAGTTCTTAAATAGAGCTTAAATTTGGTCTGCCTTAGGACCTGGTGAAATCTCATTTTGATTCCATTTCAGATGAGAACCTGATTAATTTCAGGTTTACTAGTAAACAAAACATTTTATAGTACTTTACCCTGAGAGTCTTAGAGACATTTTTCTACTTACTTTCTCTCAACCAAAAAAATGAAAAATTCAGAATTTACAAAAGAGGCAGAAACTGTATTGTGGGATTGGATGTCAGTGGTGAAAGTCTCTGTAAGTGATTTGAGAGATTTATCAGGAATGGTATTTATCTTTTTTTGCAAATAAATACAGGTTTTCACTTTGCAAACAAATGTGTTAAATCCATTTATAGTCTACCTTTCTGTATCATTTTAACCTTAAAAATTAAAAATTTACTTAGTAAAGTAAGAGGCTACGTGAACTGCTAAACTTACAGTTTTGTTAAAGTCAAGTTTCCCGTTGTTATAATTGAATTAAGGGTGGATCCTGGTAAATTACATTACCTTAAC